AGGCACCCATTAAGTTTTTGTAGGGTAAATGAGTATGTGGTGCTTGGTCAGTGCCAGGCCCATCAGAAACAAAAAAAAAGGTCCCTTTGTCCATAATGCTCATAGTCCATTGGGGTGGGTGAACAGAAAACAGACATTCATCCTGTGGACCTTGATTATAGTCCTACTTATGAGGGTGGATCGCACACTGTGACTGGGGACAGTAGTCCGAGAAGGTCTGTCAAGGGAAGAGTGCCAGCCGGGGGAGCACTGGGTAGGGGGAGTAGAAAATGGTGGCATGACTTTAGATGTCCAGATTGTACTGGCTGTGGTGACATTTTGTCTTTTGCTGAATGCTCAGAGGGAGGCCATTGGCAGGTTTTGAAGAAGTGGGTTGAGGGTCAGCCAGGAGATGGTTTAAACTCTGGGTTAAAAGGGGGCCATAGTGGAAGCAGCTGGACAATCAGCTGGAGGTGATGAATGGTTCAGGGAGACAAGGAGGAGGGGCTAGCTGAGGAGCCAGGAAGAAGTGGCTGGACCTACCACGAAGCCAGAAGGTAAAGCTGTGGCTGAGCATGGGATCAGCCAGGGAAGGTGGAGAGGAGAGAAAGGTCTGTCTGCTTCTGAGCCTGGGGGTGCTCCCATATTTGGCAGAGCTGTGGAGTGCCCTTTCAGTGTCCCTCTGTTTCCCACCTGGAGATCCTCTAGCTTCAGGTACCATCTGTCTGCTCTGTCTCCCAGGTGCCCTCCTCTAGCCCATATCTCTTTCTGGTAAAAAATAGTAGCTTCCATTTAGTGATAACCTTGGCTGCATTATCTCATCGAATCCTCCCCATGTTACAGGTGAAGAAACCAAGGGCCAGGATGGCAGGCCTATGACCATGGCTGGGCAGCTAGTGAGAGACAAGCTTCAGCCTCTCAACCCTTTCCAGCTGCCTGCTGGTGTCCCTGAGGACTCGGGGCACCCTCCCCTCTCTGACACATTTCCTGAGTCAGCCTCCTCCTCTGCATGTGCAACTTCACTGCCTTGTATCCACTCAAAACAGTTATCAGGGAAAGTTTGAAACATTTACAGAAGTAGATGGAGTGCTAGAAAGCCCTCTTGTAGCCATCACCCAGGTCGAGCATATCACGTGACCACGTTTGGTCCATCCTTGGCCCACCACTCCCCCACCGCGTCATTTTGGAGCAAATCCCAGACCAGCATTTTGTGTGTCAATACTCCAGAATGTTCTCTCAAAGATAAGGACTGCTTTTGAAGAATAACAATAAAAATACTAGAATCACAGCTACAAATTTATAATTCCTTGATATCCAGTGTTTATAGGTTTTTTTTTCTCTTTGAATCAGGATCTAGGTAAAATCCACACGTTGTGATTTATGAGTTTGTCTCTTAATCTGTAGATTCTCCCTCTGCCATTTTTTTTTCTTTTCAGTTTATTGAAGAAACTGGGTCATTTGTCCTATAGAGTTTGGTACAGTCAGGCTTTTTGCTGCTTCCATCCTCACTGTATTTATTTAGCACAACCCGGCTCTGTGTATTCTCTGATCATTTGAACTTGAGTCTGGAGGTGACATCTGCCTGGGAAGGTGGCATCTGTTTCATCTGGTGGTCTGTGTGTGCAATGTGGGTAGCAGCTGACAGCAGTGCCTGGATTACTGACCAGTGACAGGTTACGGAACTGTGAGATCATTCCTTCTCCATGCAGGACCTGAAATGCTTGTGCAGCTCACCTCTTCTGTGTGGTGGCACTGTGGAAAGGCGGGACAGATGCTTGAGTTTTCCTCCCCTTTATTTGACAGTTTCAAACTCTGCTCCCAGTCATGCTCTTCTGGAGGGTGTTTGTTTCCTGGGACATGGATCTGGGTTTGTTCTTCCTGAGCCTAAGTTCTTAAGTCTCTGCCCTAGGATGCAGCCACCCTCCCAGTGGTTGCCAAGGCTTTTGTTTCTGGGTCACCTGCTGCCATTGCTCTCCATCTTCCCCTTCTGTCTGCCGCCATGTGTACTCTCAGGGTTCCCAGAAAAGATGCTGTGACCTGTAGTGCTGCTTTCTACCTCCTGACCCTTGACTTCATCAACTCATAGCCATTCTCCAAGCTCATCACAGGGTCCAGGGGGCGTTCTTGGCCCCTTCCCCATCCCCTTTGTTGGGTCAGGCCCTTCTCTTGTCCACTCTCAAATTTCATTCTTTTGGCAAATATGGAGTACCTCTTCTGGGCCGGCACCTAGGGGGAGTGGAAGATAGTCCCCAGATCTCCTGCCTGCAAGAGCTTCCCAATTTGGTGGGGAGAAAATGCCCTTTGTGACAGATGCCTTCGTAAGGGTGGGCACAGAGCAGTGCTGACACAGGGGCAGCCACCATGTTTAGGGGCATAACAGTGGCTTACTATATAGTGTATTTCTCTTCCTTGACAGGATGTTAGGAGACAGCTGATAGCCTTGGGGGCAGTGGGCTCCATGGTGTCATGGCTGCCCACCTGAGGCACTCCTGGCTTTCTCTACAGTCCTCCCACAGTCAACACCACACCGCCAAACATTGCGTCACACAGGTTGGCAGGAAATAAAGAGATGCTGAGACTTTCTCCCTGCACATTTATTTTTGATTTGAGAAGGAAAGCCCTTTCTAGGCTGACACCCTCATCTCCTTGCATTTCATCACCCCAAACTAGGTCACACATCTACCTTGGACAAGAGGAATGTTTTCAAGTCTGATTTAGATGGGCTGAGATAGAAACTCATGCTTCTTGAGACCTGGGTCTATGGGGAGGGACAAGGTCAGTGTCACCTCATTGGCTGGCAGTGGCTCAAGAGGGCCTGTTCACTTTCTTTTCACCAGACTCATGGCTCTTGGAAGGAATGTTCTGTGGCCTGAATGGAGTGACAGAATCATCCAGGTGGACTGCAGGGCCCACTCCTGTACCCTTTGTTTAGAAGTGGCCAGCTGGTTCCCAATCTCAGGTGTCACCCATTTACCAGAGTCGGAAAAGCCTGGCATTGCCCATACGAACCAGGAAGGCCTTGCTGAGGAGGCAAGGAGAAGTGGCCAGCCTGTCAAGCCTGTCTCTGCTCTCTCTCTCCAGGGTTGGAGTGAAGAGAAGAGGGCATGGAAATGCCTGTGCGAGGGGCTCAGCCTCTTCACTCTCCCTTCCTTTCTCACTGTCATAAATTCTCGTTTGAATTGCTGAGAAACCTTCACTGGCTCCCATACTCCTAGATTTTCTCTCCCAGTGGAGAGCATTTTTAAAAATTGGGGTATAATTCCAGAAAAGTCACCCTTTTAAAGTGTACAAATTTGGTGGGTTTTAGTATCTTCACAGTGTTGTGTAGTCAACAAAGTTTTCTAATTCCAGAATATTTTCATCACCCTGGAAAGAAACCTCGTACCTATTGGCAGTTAGTTGTTTAATCCTCACCCAAGGATACATTTATTGATTTTAGAAAGAGAAGGGTGGGGGGCGAGAAAGACATTCATTGGTTGCCTCCTGTATACACCCAATCAGAAATTGAACCCTCAACCTGGATATGTGCCCTAACTGGGAATTGAACCTAAAATCTTTTGGCGTATGGGATGACACTCCAACTAACTGAGCCACCTGGCCAGGGCAGCACATAGTTTTTATGTCCCCTGACCAATCCCTGGCACCCACTAACCCACTTCCTGTCTCTCGATTTGCCTGTTCTGGACATTTTACATAAATGGAATCACACACAATGTGGCATCTTGTGTCTAGCTTCTCTCACTGAGCATCATGTGTTCAAGGTTCATTCATTTTGTACAAATGTCAGAACTTCACTCCTTTTTTTTTAATTTTTTTTTTTTTTATTCTCACCCGAGGACATTTTTCCATTTTTTGTTCATGTAGAGTAGGAGGGAGAGAGAGGAAGAGAGAGAGAGAGAGAGAAACATCGATGTGAAAGAAACACATCGAGTGGCTGCCACCCGCACGACTGACCAGAGCCGGGGACAATCTGCAACCGAGGTACATGCCCTTAGCGGGAACCAAACCCGGGTCTCTCAGGACCACAGGCCGACGCTCTAACCGCTGAGCCAAACCGGCCAGGGCCGAACTTCACTCCTTTTTATGGCAGAGTAATATTCCATTATCTCGATAGACCACGTTGTGTTTATCCATTCATCCATCAATGGACACTGGGTTGTTTCCAGTTTGGGCTGTTGTGAATCATGCTGCTATGGACATAGATGTACAAGTTTTTGTGTGGATGTATGTTTTCATTTCTTTTGGGTATATATCTAGGAGAGATCTATGAGTCATGTAGGTATTCTATTTTAACATTTTGAGGAGTTTCTGATAGTTTTCCAAAGTGATGGCACCATTTTGCATCTTCATTAGCAATGCACAGGGATCTACTTTTTCCACATCCTCACCAACACTTGTTATTTTCTGTTTTTTGGTGTTTTTTTTAAATAATCGACATCCTAGTGGGTGTGAGGTGGTATCTCCTGGTTTTGATTTGCATTGTTTTAATGATCAGTGATGTTGAACATCTTTTTAGGTGCTTATTGGCAATTTGTATATTTTTGGAGAAATTTCCCTTCTGTGAAAAGGGTGGGTGGAGGCTCTAGAATCATGGGCCTTAGAGAATGCGATCAGGTCTCAGCACTGTCACTTAGCAGCTGTGTGTCTTTGAGCCTTGGTTTCTTCATTTGTTGGTAGGTACTGCAAGGGATCAAGGGGTAGTGTGTGCGTAGGGGCTGTACACACCATCAACAAGAATATTTTCATTAACCATCCAAGAATATCATTCTTAATGATCTTTGCTTCTGATGTGGAGCCTGCTTTGCTGAGTCCTCTGCAAAGAGTAAGTTAATTCATTTTGGGTAACTGGGTAGATGAGAAGTAGGCGCACACAGAGAGAAGTGGAGACCAGGCAAAGGAGAAAGAAAGAAGGCCAGGGGATGGCAGTGGGGATCATGTGTACACCTCTGTCCCGTGGCTGTTCTTGCAGCCTCCTGTCTACCCACCCTCTAAAATGGACTTTCTTGTTTTCTTTGTTTAAGGAGGAGCCGAGGAAGGTTTGCTTCACCTATGACCTGTTCCTGAACCTAGAGGGCAACCCACCTGTAAACCACCTGCGCTGTGAGAAGCTCACCTTCAACAACCCCACCATTGAGTTCCGGTACAAGCTCCTGATGGCTGGCGGGGTGAGTGTGCCAAAGCAGGTGGGCCCTGCCCCTGCTCGAACAAACGCAGCTTCTCTGTTGTGGATCCGTCTCTGCTCCCTGTGCTGGGAGTGCCTTGGGATCTCCCGATCCCAGACATGTCTCTCTAGCCTATGGTAGGGCACCTGATACTTAGAGGGACAGGTTGCACGGGTAGTACCTGGCATCACTGGATAGGACCCAGGTGTCCTGAATCTGTGCTGGGATGTTGTCAGCTGGGAATGACTAGTTGTTAGTTATTCCCACAGCTTCCTGCTTGGTTCCGATTAATTAGCATCTTCTTCCATAGGGTTGGGAGATTGGGGAAGGAATGGGTGTGAGGCCAGCCTGTCATTGTGGTGAGGCATTGGAGCCAGTTTTTAACTGGATTGGCAAGGCCATGCTGGAGCCCCATCACTTGGGGAAATAGCATTGGCTCTCTTCAGAGCCCTGATGATGCACGCTGCCTGGCAGTTCTGTCCTTGTGAGGCCAGATGAAGGTGTCAGCTTTCAGAACCTCGGTCTCTGTAGTGAGTTGTGTGGCCAGTGATCTTGGTGTGATGGCAGAGTGCCAGGAGCGTGTGTCAGCTCTTGGAGAATGGGGGTGGGGTGCTTGGTGCTGGTGGATGGTTGGTTATGGAGGAGGCAAGGTGCTTGGCTGCAGGCTGGATTGTGTGTGCTGAGGGTGGTGGCAGGCTGAGGACACAGGATATCCCAAAGCTACTTGCTAGTGATGCAAATTCCCTGAGTATTTGCCTTGCTGTCAGTGGTGTCTTCAGGTATGTGGCAGGCCACCTCCCCAGTGAATACCAGGAGTTTGGGCTGAGTCTCTTTGGGCCTAGGGAGCAGTCTTTCCTCTTCATTTAATTTAGTGGTTGTCTTTCATAAAAAAATAAAAGCATTTATTTATGGCAGAAAATTTGAGTAATTTCTGTCATGCCCCTAATAAAAGATTAGTCTAGGATTTGGACCTAGCATTTGATTGTTGGTGGAGTTCAGTAAACGAACAGGAAGGTATTGGAATCTATTAACATAGACACTTGTCCTGATGTTTGCCTGGGAGTTCTGGAAGAACTATGGAAGTGGGGAGGGGTTTCCAGGTTCAGCAGTCCTCTTCAGCTTTGTCTCTCCACCTTATTTTCCAAGATATTTCCCCAAGGTGTTACCCAGAGGCTCTATAGTCGCATCTCAGGGAGACAGACACTCAGACAGCATTCCATGGGCCTCTTAGAGTTAGAGGACCAAGGGACTGTCCCCTTCTGCACCGTGTCAGGTTTTCTTTGTTCTGAAGAGATGAAGGCCCAATATGCATCATCTAATTCTATAAAACTGGAGGGGTAGGGGAGGTGGGGGAGGCATGAGGAAGAGAGGTTGGGATGGCAAGTCTACCTTGCAGTTTGGTAAGGGCCAGCCCAAGGGAGAGGAAGGGAGAGTCAAGGCCCTTGGGCAGTGGTGTGGTGGTCTTTATTGGGCACTTGTCAACCTCTTTGAGGGCTGCCCAGAGAGCTGATTGTCTGTTCAGGAACTTTCTTTCCCCTTGGAGCTTGCCCTGGGCTGATGGCAGAACAGTGCCCTCTGGTCTTAGGAGCAGCCTGGGACATTTATGGGACAGTTGCTCCCGAGACCTGAGTTGTGGCCCTTATGTTAGCCAGTCTGGAGCTCTGAGTGTTCCTAGTGGGGCTGGTATTTACTCTTTGGTGGCAAATGACCACAGTCCCACTTACGTTGATGTTCATGCTAGAACTAGAGGACCACACGATCTGTAAGTTATGAGAACTTCTTTCTAGACTGCCCTTCACTGAGAGGCACGTGAGTTCTGAGATTCCTCTCATGAGGTTCAGACACTTCCTCAGCGGTGACCTGAGGGGCTTGGCCACTTTTCTAGACGGTCAGAGGCCAGCCGTGTCTCTGCATTGTGTCTTGTCCCTTTGCTGACATAATCCTCAGCATTGTGTCTCGTTCTTTACCCCATCGACAGTGTATTTCCATTGGGTGAGAGATGTCCTTGTGAAGCCCTGTCCTGGAGGTGGAAGTGGATTCATTTATTCACTATACCTTTTTTTTCAAAAGGCTGTTACGAGAGAAAGATCCAAGACCTTCACTGTATTGTCTTGGCATAGTGTCAGTCTAGGACATTTCTGTGAAGGAGAGAAGAGAAAGGAAAATGAAGAGAGAAGACACGGTCTGCAAGGGAACAGACTCAGGCCTCTAAGGAGACCTGTCTATTCTCCTAGGTTAGGCTGTCAGTGGCTTCTCTAACCTTGTGCATGTCCTTGCTGGCCTTAGAGCATGGTGATTTCAAGACCTGGTGATCTTCAGCCATGCCAGCCAGGGCCGGGTGGGTTCTGGGCACTGTGGTTAAGAGTATTATAGAGAGACAGGCTCTGATGAGCAACTCGACCTCAGGCCTCACTGCTTCAGAGTCAAGTGTGGGGGCTGGAGTGGCTCGAAGGCCTCCACTGCTCTCCTTTCAACCCGATTGTCCCTGTGACCATAACTGGGCATTACGTCAGCCTCATCATATGAAAGGTTGGGTTCATCAAGGATCTTGGGTGCTCAAGGTTATTAAAGCTAAATGCTTTTTTTTCTTTCTTTTTTTACATGAACTTTATTCTTTTGTTCTGTCTTGTTGCCGTCTGGAAGGCTCCCTCTGAGTGGTAGTGTGAACTTCCAGTGTCTGTATTTTGAGAACTTGCCCCCGGGTCTTCTCTCCCTTCAACAAGTGCCACAGGAGCCTCACTGGAGCGGGGCAGATGTTTCTGGGAGCACCTCCTGGTAGGAGCCCAGATCCTTCCTCCTCCTAGTAGTTAACAAAGGGCAGGGCACATGTGCCTCTGCTGCAGGCTCCAGCAAGGTGGCTTTTGCAGAGAGCCGGGCCTGCCCCCGTGCAATTTCCTCCTGCCTCAGCTTTGCTGCTCGCTCCCTGTTTTGGTCAACTTTATTCACCTGAGAGTGGAAGAGTGAGGCTCCCCTCGGAGATGTGGGACCCGGCGAAGTCACGCACATGCACATCACCAGAAGTTGCTTTCTCCGCCACATGCCTTCCTGGAGTGGGTGTCTGCCTGGCTTCTCACCTTCATGCTTCTGGTCTTTCTTAACCGCAGCATGCAGGCCAGCTTTGGCCACAGCTGCCTCCTTGTGCTTCTTGCACATGCCGCCAATCTTCTTGGCCCGGGGTCCTCCTCCCCGAGACTGCGCCAACTGCACCTGGGCCCAGCCATCCTGGGACCCTGCTTCTCTTCGCTCTCCACCATGAGCCCGCTTTGCTCTGAGTACTCTGCACCCAGACCCTCATGGAGGAAATGCGGTTGACTCTTGGGAAAATGACACCCAGGTTCTCCCTGGCCCCCTCCCCAAAAGGAAACTTGGACACCTCTAGCCGCACTCCCGCAAGCCAGCTTCCTCTTACCCATTGGATTTCCAGCCTACCTCCTTGCTCGTTGATAACATCTGTCTCTTCTTTATCACTAGGTGATGGTAATGCCCGAAGGAGCAGAAACGGTGTCCAGGCCCAGTCCTGACTACCCCATGTTACCCACAATTCCACTCTCTGCCTTCTCTGACCCCAAGAAGACCAAACCGTCCCACGGCTCCAAGGTTAGTGAGGTGGAAGGCCCAGTCACATGGGAGCACTGGGGCCCAGCGGAGGGTCCCGGGCTCAGGACACTCCCTCTGAAGAGCTGGACCTTCTGTCCCTGGACATCTTTCTCTTGGCGCTCTTTGTGCTCCCAGTGGCTGCTCTCTGCCACTTAGTAAGAAGGGTCGGCCCCTCCTGGGGTACATAAAACAGCATAGTAATCACAGGCTCTTCACCCTGTTCCTCTTGAGGCCAGAGAGCCTGGCCTGCCCTGTCCTCTCCTACCCTCTGAGTCAGTGGGCTTAGGACCACTCAGACAGAACCCCCAGATAGTCTGACATGGTTGGGAGCTATGGACAGAGTGTGTCCACTGCAGCCACCGCTGCCTACCTTCTCAGGTCTCCTGAGTACAGCTAGGATGCTCCGTCCATCAGGGCGGGGTGCTTCCTGGGCTTTTCCAGGTTTGGCTTCTTTTCTTTGGCAGCAGCTCTTGGCAGAGAAAGCTTACTTGGGGGAAGGACCAGGTAGAACCATGTGGGTGAGTGAGCTGGTGAGCTGATTTTCCCTAAGAAATGTTTTATCATCTTTTCTCAGCCCCGTCAGGTGGGTAGCTTGCTGCCTTCCTGAGACCACTCTCTGAATCATCCCAGAGTGGCCGCCAGAGCCCTTCTGATGGTGTCACGATGTACACATAAACTCCTGAGTGTTCGTCTCATTCCCCTGCAACCGCCTACACAGCTCCGTGTCCCGGAGGCCAGGTTTCATCTGCTTCTCAGGGCAGCTGCTGCTTTGTGTCACCAACTCCACAAGTTTATCCACTTTACATCTTTGCGTTTTTCTTGCTCCACTCACCTGTTGGGTGTTGTGGGCCTGGGGCACCCCAGGTGGAAAAGGCTGAGCTCTCAGGCCAAATTACAGCCTTACTCATCAGCGACATCACCCAGACAGGGTCTTTTTGGCACTTTCCCCAGGCCAGTGAGTCTCTGAAATCCTCACGTTCATCCAACTTAAGCCCTTGAGATGTATGAGGCCGGAGTCTAGTACGGAGTGCAGCTTTGAGAATCTTCCCCATGCCAACCTCCTGGCCCATCTTTCCTGAGCCTCATGGAAGCCAAATGGAAGAGAAATTCTTGCTAAAGATCTTGGCAGTTTCTCTCTCAGCCACTCACAGTTGTCTGGAAGTCTATGAAAAATAGAAAGTGTAGAAATTGTCATTTCTTCTGTATGTGTCACTTGCGAGTCAACCAAAACCCTTTGAAGAGAGACCCTCCAGGTGGCAAAGACGCTCCAGTGGCTAGTGGAGCTGCATCTGTGGGAGTTGCTTATGACCTCTCACTAGAATGTCTTTGCAATCCCCCCAGCCCCGAGCTCTAGGCCAGATGGGCATATCTGCTAGGCTCAGAGGCCAATAGGCAGGGTCCTTGGTCTCCACTTCTTTCTGTCCCAGAATCTTTCTTCAGCTATCTGGGTGGTATATCTTAGGAGTCTCCTGCTTAGGTGTCTCAGGCAGCATAAGGCAAGTTCTTCTCTGTTCCTGGCTTCTGAGCTGTCAATTTTACTCTGCTCTTCTAGAAGGGTAGGGCCTGTGTGCCAGCCTCTTCCTCCAGGTAAAGACCTGCCTTTGGGTACTGGCTGTACCCTTCAGATTGGTTCTCCACTGCCTGGACCTGAAGAGTCTAATTACCAGGTCACATACTCCAAGCCGAGGGGAGTGGGAGGGAAGGGCCTGGTCATGCAGGGCCTCACTTGTCAAGATCCCCAACCTGGGGGCCACTGGAGAGTGTGGCTTTTGTAACCCTAGGCTGATTGGTCACTGGTGGTCTGTCCCCATGTCATGTCTCCTCAGAGGGTAGCATGTTAGGCAGGAGTTGGAGTCTCCTAGGAGAGGAACTGCACCCCTGGAGGCTCATATTTCCAGGATGGTATTCCCTTTAGTCCCCACCCCCACAAAACCCCCTGGACTTGTGTACCTATGGCTTCTTCTTGTCTGACGTCAGCCAGTTGACCTGGGCGACCTTTCTCCAAAACTTGCTTCTTAGCCATATTTGAATCATTGACAGCTTTGAGAAAGTGACTATGAGGAGTTCTCACCACTGGTAACATTCACATTACTCTTAGAACTTAGTGTGTGACTTCAGAGAGCCTGGTCTCGAGCACCTATGCAGACCCCCAGGTGAAGAGCCATTGCTCAGAAGGCCTTTGCTTGCTGGGCAGGCCCTGGGCAGCAGTGGAGGCTCGGCCGACCCCAGGACTCGGGGACACGGTGGGAACTTTGACAAACATGCCTGTTGGGTGTGTTTTTGCCCCACCTCTTTGGACTGGGGCCAGATCCTGCTGCACGGGGGGTACATGGATATTTTGGGAAGAGGCTGGAATCACATGGGATCTGCTTCTTGCCTCCCTCCTCGGGAGCATATTGCTGGGGAGTGGCATCCCCAGGGATTGGCCCCATTCTACACACCAGCCCTGAGGAGGACGCCCCTTTAGATGGTCAGCTGGGGGCTTGTGGTGTGAGTACTCCTTCCCACTGCCCTGGAGACAGAAGAGCCAGGACCAGGGCACGGGGGCCTGTGTTTCTCCAGAGAGAGCCCATGGCTACACAAGGCTGTCCCTTGGCACTGATGTGGGTTGTGGATTTGTAGTAAGACAGTGACCAAGATTCGAGGTGGTCAAGGCTGTGCCATCGATCCCTATAGCTCTTTATTGTAAGAGTCTGTCATTGGACCCTCAGGTGGGCTGGGAGAGCAGGTAGTAGAGGCCCTGCTGGTGGGCATTTAACTGGTTCACCCATCCCCTTGGCACTTAGGGTGAGTTGGTAAAATGTGGCTGCCTCAGTTGGTACATGCCACCCTCGAGGTCTGGCTGCTGTTGGTTTCCTGGTGAGCTTTGTTCTGGAGTACCTCTGGGCCCAGCCATATACCTGCTGGCTGAGTGGGGGGCAGAGCCCTTGCAGCTGACAGCAGCGGGTACCTGTCCAGCAACCTTGGACGTGCGGAGTGATGAAGGGGTGTTGACAGTGAGGAGGCAAACAAGGTGTCAGTCCAGACTTCCACCCATAGGGTGCACTGGCTGTGTGTGGGGTGGCTGTAGCCCTCATGATTGAGTGTTCGCTGTCATCCAGGGCCCCGCACCATCACTGGTGAGGTAGGTGGTCTTACCCTTGTTCAGTGGAAGTACAAGTGCACGGGGTTGGTGTCACCTGGCCCAGCTTTTCCAGCAGCCTGGAGCAGGGCTGCTCTCTGCCTTAGTCCCCAGCCAGGGCTCCATGACCTGGCTGATCCACCCTGAACACTCTGAATTTCTCAGGAACCGTACACATTATAGAAAAGCTGTCCAGGAAGTCAAGTGTTGTTGGTCCTGCACAGCGCCTGGGAACCCAACAGGCACTCAATGAGTACTGACCATGGGGATCAAAGAACCATTATGCCTGGCAGGCCACACTGGGTCAGGGTGACCAGGCAGGAGGCATACAAGCTCTGGTGGGGACAGAAGAGTGGGGCCCGTCTGCTAGCACCCCCATTGGGGAACTGCAAGGTGTTGGAGCGGGAGGGATCTGTGTGGCCGCCTTTCTCTGTCTGACTCACGTGTGCTCTTCTTGAATCCCTCAGGGAATGTCAGTTCAATTCAGAGGGGAGTCTTAGCCTGCAGTCGCCTGGGACCTGCTGACACTTCCTAGTAGTTTAAAGGGACAGCTCCATTTAAAACTCTCACCTGCTGCCTTACTTTTTCGCTTTTTGGAAGATTTTCTCTAGCTGAGTCTGAATCAGGTGGATTATACTTTGAAGGGGTCGGGGGAGGTGGAGCAGGGCGACCTGAGATGCCCTTTGACTGTGTCTCCCTTCCCGCCTGACATTTCAGGATGCCAGCAGGGAGAGCGGCAAGGCCTGCAAGGCCCACAAGACGGCCAAGGAGCATCGGGAGCGGCCACGCAAAGACTCGGAGAGCAAGGGCCCCTCTAAGGAGCCAGAGCGTGAGCAGGCCCGGAGTGCCAAGGACGCCTCACGGAAGCTGGTTGAGGGTCGGCCACCCAAGGAGGAGAAGGCCCCACCTCCCAAGACCGCATTTAAGGAGCCCAAGATGGCCCTGAAGGAGACCAAACTGGAGAGCCTGTCCCCCAAGGGTGGCCCCCTGCCACCCCCCGCACCCAAGTCTTCCAGTAAGCGGCCGGCCACCGCTGACTCACCCAAGCCCAGTGCCAAAAAGCAGAAGAAGAGCAGCTCCAAGGGGTCTAGGAGCGCCCCTGGCACTTCGCCCCGCACCTCGTCTTCCTCCTTCTCTGACAAAAAATCAGCCAAGGACAAGGGCAGCGCCAAAGTGGAGAAGATCAAAGCTGAGAGTGAGCCCCGGGAGATCAAAAAACCCCCAGAAGTGGAGGAGTCCAACTCGGAGGACGAGGCCTCCTTCAAGACAGAGGTGAGGTGTGCCCCCTTTCCCTCTCTACCCCATTCTTACTCTCTTTTCCGGCCCTGAGCCATAGGAAGCCTTGTCAGCCCAAACATTAGATGACGAGATTGGGCTCTCAGGCCTGGGGCTCCTGCTTGCTCGTTGTTGCTTCAGGCATACGTGAGCACGTCGCTAAGCCTCGGTTTTCCCTTCCGTCAAAGGTGATGAAGCCCGCCTGTGAGAATTCTGTGGAAACAGTGCTTAGGGAAGAGTGGTTGTTGTAGAACCTGGGTTCTGAGCTCTTTACCTTGGGAGCCCCTTGTATGGCCTAGGGTCTTGTTGGCTGCTTTGGGGTCAGGGTGCTGATTGTGTCTCACTGTTGCCCCTTCCCCGGCATTGTTGGTCTGTCAGGGAATTCATTCCCTCCGCCAGCAGGGAATCCCTGTCTCCATCCTGCTCTCCTGGTCTGGAAGTTTAATGCTGACCACTGACCCTCCCTCACCTCACCCGGCTCCATTCCCAGAAGTCTGAGGCCCCACCACCCCTACCACCTGCCCGCTTCTGCTCAGGCAGCCCAGACACGGATCTCGAATTGGCAAGGCTTGTTTTCTAAACAGGGACCAGAGCCCCTCCCTGGGAGCGGCATCCTGTGAGAGGCTCTGGGTTCCTCCTGCCACACTGTTTCCAGGTGGCTCTCTGAAGATCTCTGTGAAAGATCCCTGGAACCACAAAGGAGCACATAACCAGATTCTGATTGGGTGGCCAGACCTTACCGGGGCCTCGGGTGGTGATGTCATCTCTGTGACTGTGTTTAGCATTTGGTGGTCAGAGAACAGGTGCCTGGATGGATGGATGGATGGGTGAATGGTGATCCCCTTACCTGTAGCACTGCCCCAGTGCTTAATGGCCTTTTGCTATTTCAAAATCTTGATTCACTCTCAAAGGCTGAAGCTTTGCCTCCAGCATTGCTTCTTGGTGCTCCTTTGGGACTTTGAAAGTGACTCCTTGAGATGAAGCTAGAGCTGTTTTGTGTCCGCAACACCAATGTCATGAGCATGTGGCTTCCAGGGCTATCCTGTTGGAGGCAATAGCTCTGGGGGTGTTAATTGAGTTCATGGGTAACAGTGCACTCAGTGGCTTAGGGATACACACAGGGCCAATGATGCTATATACCCAGCACTTCTCACAGCCAGGAGACACTGTCTGCCAGTGAACCTAAGGTGGCAGGACCTTGGAATGTCTCTTATTTGGAAGCCTCCTGGCCATCCAGGGCCATTTCAGTATCCTGCTCAGCTTCTGCCGGTTTTTTGGGTGCTAAACGGCACCCTAGTCTATCATGTGGCATCTGCTTGCTCAGCATCTGGAGCTCTGGGCAGGTGCCTTTCCCTCTCTTCCACCCTAGATGCTTCCAGGTGAGGCTTTCTGTACCAAAGGCTAGTATACCTTCACTGGGTAAGAGATGGAGGCCTCCACTGATGCCCTAGGTGTCCACGCTGATATCTGATTGTGATTGTTGGGACGCTGTGCGGGAAGCCATCTCCCCCCCACCAGGCACTGCCTCTGAGAGTGGGCTGAATGTCCAGTATCTATGGCCTTGGGCACCTCAAACCTGAGGCTGGAGGTTTGTGGAAGTCTGGGATGTTTCTCCCAGCCTTGAGAGACCTTGACAAACCTTAGCCACTGAAGATCTGTGCAGGTGTGAAACCCAGACCACCAACAGAGTGCCCTGGGGTCTCTAGGGTTGTGGGACAGTGACTCAATAACATTTCCCAACCCTGCGACCTTGGTGAGGCACAGATATCTATGGTGGAGGAGGTGAGACAGCCTTCCATACCCCAGCCTCCTTTGACTGACTTAGGCCATCCCACCCTGGAGGCTGGGCGGGGCACCACCACTGGAAAGCTCTGACCATCCAGGAAACCTGAGTTGCCTCCTCCCAATTAGCTGCAAGGGGGTCAGGGGGCTCCTTGTCTGCATCCCCAGGCCAAGCCTCTAGCTCCTCTAGCTGCTTCTCTGTGGTCTTCTTGGCCTGCAGGGTCCTGTTCAGTCATGCTCCAGGAGTGCTGGGAGCCCAGGAGGCCCTTCTGCCCTCTGCTGGACACTGCATGTGGCTGAGTACTGGCACTCACCAGCAGCAGTTGTAGTAACCCTTTGTGGGCTTTCAGACTCCCACCTCTAGGCTCTGGGCCAAAACCATTTCCGCCCCTTGGATTTGTATGGAATGAAAAGGGTCAAGTGCATCTGAGGTCGTCTGACTTGCTTGCCACCCCCCACTTCCCCACCCCCAGCTCAGGGCCTGGAGCTGCCTCGTGGCTTCTCTAGCCTGCTTCCCTGAGCCTACATATTGGGTGGCCACCACCTGGGCCCAATTCCTGCTCTGGCTCTATTTTGTGTCAGCCTCGCGGACCCTGCTGCTCATGCTCCTGGCCCAGGAGGTCTGTCCAAATTCTCTGCTCCATGGCACGATGGGCATTGGCCTCCATGTGCTGGTGACTGGCACACACACTTAGCAGAGGCCACAAGGCAGCTTTTACAGACGGAGGAAACTGAGGTTTAAAGCCAGGGACAGTTGGTGACAAAGCCAGGGTCAGAATCCCTACCCCTGAACCAGAATAAGAACTCAGGGGTCTGCATGCTGGAGGGGCCATGTGGCTCTAGGCCCATTGTTGGGTTTGGAGGGGGTCTCTGTGCTGGTCTCTGTGGTACCTCCACAGTGGACAGTGGTTGTTGGTAATCTAGGCTGTGTTTCCCTCAGAGAATTCTCCAATATGAAGGCATGTGAGTGAGGGGCGGGCATCAACAGAGTCCTGGAGCAGATGGGTTAAGCCAAGGTAAACTCTAGAGAAGAGGTCCCTTAACTCTGCAAGTGACAAATGTTTTGTCCCCAGGTGGCCTGATTACTCTCTGGGTCTATTGAGTGAGCAGAGACTTGTGTCTTCGGGGTTCCCTTCTATGGGCTGGGAGCTGCCCTCAGCCCACAGACTATCAGGAGGGACTTTCTTGATCTCTTCCGGGTCAGGGGCTCCTTTCCTAGGGTCTCTTCTAACATGACACATGCCAGGACTAGGCAGACACTGATAGGTGCCTATCTTCCTTGTCCCTTTTCCTCTTGACAAGGGAGGTGCACAGGGGTGGCTGGTCCCAAGCGCTCAAGGCATTCCATTCCTTCAGATGGTCCCCCTCCCAAGGCAGGAGAGCTAGACCCCTGACCTGAGGACAGGCTTGCTGGGAGTAAGCCAGACTCCCAGGTGTCTGGGGCACTCTGGGCCAGGCAGAAAGACTCTCAGAACTGTGAACTTTGCCCTTCAGAGCCCGTGCCGTAGACTTGTGGCCTGCTCTGCCATACACACCTTCTGAACTGCCTGTTGGCAGAAACCAAGGCCTCTGTTCTATCTTAGCACTCTGTGCGGCAAGGCCAGAGGCCCCTTACCTGAGCAGGGTCTGAAGTGACCAGTTCCTTTTCACCCAGGGAAGGGCAAGCCCCAGTCATCTTACCCCCATGTATCCTAAGGCCTAGTGGCCTAGTTTGGGCTTTTACTGCCCCCTGATGGCTGAGTCAGGGTGGACGTCTACAGGAAGAAGGGGGGGATGTGACCAGGCTGAGTCTGCCCTGTCCTCAACTGCTTGTCACGGGCACACATTCATCGCCTCAGGGCACCTGTGGCAGGGACACAGCTTTGTGTCATCACTCAGCCTCCATACTGGCTGTGGGAAAACAAGGGGCAGAATGAGAGGCTGGGTCTCTGCATTCACTCCTGTTCCAGACCTTTCCTCAGTTCCCTGGGGCACCACAACCCCCATCACTAGCTCTTGCCCTAATAGGAGGAAGGCAGGGCCCACAAATAGATGTGCTACCCCCTCGCTTTCATGGAGAGCCTACTTCTGTCTCCTCCTGCCTAGGCACATGGGAAAACCAGTGATGTGATGTGAGCTTCTCCTGGAATTACTAGAATGTACAGTTCCTCAGTGGGAAAGAAGGCCACTGCATTTGGAATGCAAACTGGTGGTGTCCTGGGGCTGGGTGCCTGTGGACCCAGGAAGCCATGCTCTCAGGAGTGTGTGCAGGGTCCTCCTATGTCCCCCTTGAGCCTGGTGCCTCTGTCACCTTTTAGTGCATATCTGGGGGAAGACTCAGCTGGGTGTCACCACTCCCAGAGCGCATTTCTTGTCCCCTCTTTTTCCTTGGACTGAAAGATCATTCTTGTCTTTTCTCTTGCTGTCCCACCCCACCCCTGTTGTGGGGTGAAGTCCGCCCAGTCGAGCCCATCCAACTCCAGCTCCAGCTCTGACTCCAGTTCAGATTCAGATTTTGAGCCATCTCAGAACCACAGTCAAGGTGGGTGATGACAGAGAAAAGAGACGGGACATTTTCTGTGGCTTACTGCTGTGGGAGCAGCCACTGACTCCACCTGGAGGCTGGTGGGGTTCTGGGTGTGTTACTTAATCGCAGGGTTTTACAAGTAATTTCCTGTAACTTCTGGGGGAGCTCACTCCATGCCTGAGCTTCAGCAGAGTCTGACATCTGCTGTCACTGCCAGAAAAACCCACTGATACCTTAGCCCAGGGCAGGGGGTGATGAGAAGGGCCTGGAGTGATGGGGGATGGTGGGGTGGGCCTGGAATGATGGAGGGTGGGGGATGATGGGGTAATGGAGGAGGGCCTAAAGTGGTGGCTGATGGTGGGGGAGGTCCTGGAGTGATAAGAGAGGGCAGGAGCTGCATTCCTGAGCTGAACTTACCCTGGCATTTCTTCAGTGTACTGCTGCTTGCCCAGACTAGGCCCCTAGATGTCCACATTTGTAGGTTGTAGAAGCTGAGGGAGTGTGTATTAAAAAGAAAAGCAGAAACAGTTCACATGACTCCCAGCCAGGTGTAGGAAGTGCTACTCCTCCTGGTGTCTGTCCCCTGGGCCCTCAGGATACCCTGTCTGTATGATAATGGCTTCAAGCTGTGCTGATAAGGTGCTGGTGGGCCGAAGGAGAAGGGCCCCTTTCTGATTTGGGCCCTATTCATAGTCAGATAGCCGCCTCGCCAGCTCCTCCCACCAGCTCCTCCCACCTCGTCCCATTACAGGACAGCTCTCCTGGATCAGGGCATGAATGCTCTGCTCCTACAGTGAGTCTGGCTGGCACTCAGCAGTCTGCATTTCTGCTTTTTCCCTATAGGATCCCTGGGAATTGGGAGGATGTTGGGGGGAGAGGGCATAAGGCCCACTTGGCTGCCCCAAATCAGGGAGCACCTGGCCACTGCAGGACACGGGTGTGACTGGTATGGGGCCCACCAGCCCTGCCAACCCTCCCACTCACCCTCAACCCGGAAGCATTTCTTCTGGTGGTTTGGACCCACAGTCTCCTCCCCCCACAGCCTGGAATCCTTTTTCAAGGGTGCAGAAAGCTGGAGGAGGAGAGCGTATTGGGGGAGGAGGGTCTAACCTGGAATTCAGATGTGCAATCACTGAGCAGGCCTGGGGGATGGGGTGCTAGAAGCCCACACTCTCTCCAAGGGTTCTTATCTATAGGGAAGGGAGGGGGAAGTGGGATCATGTGACCAAGGTAATTGAGGGCTTTGTGTCCCTCTGTTGCCTTGGTAACAGGAATATAAACCAAAGATGCCTCCGTAGGGGACTGGAACTGGGTGCCTCTGGAGAAAGGGGAGGACGGTGGGCTGGGAGCAGTGGAGGGGGTTACTGAGGCGCTGAGCAGGCCTGAGTAGGCAGACAGGCTGGTGTGGGATCCTGTGGCCCTGGGTTCTGGTTGCCTTGCCCTCCTGACAAGGCCGGCTGATCCTGCCTCCAGGCAGAGACTCTCATCTCGGGAGCAGCAGAGGAGGGCTGCTCCTTCGGCTTTGGCAATGGAAGGGCCCTGTGGTCCTGCCTCGGGCCAGGGGCCAGAGACCTGCGAGCAGGGCCAGGAAGGTAGGGGGTGTGGGGAAGCCAGAGGGTCCCTTAGGCAGAGGGTGCCTTGGGGATAGTCCTTGGAAATGGGTGGCAGGCCCCATATGATCAGGGGGGTTTCCTATGAGAGTTTGTGTGGGTGCATTTTGGAGATTGTGGTGTCAGGAAGCTCATGTGGCCCTGGAGGTAGAGGGGACCCTGCAGGGCCCAAACAGAGCCCTGACCCCCTCCCTCTTTAATCCCTCCCCCCTTCCTTGCCTCCCTCCCCAGGACCCCTGCGCTCCATGGTGGAGGACCTGCAATCCGAGGAGTCCGATGAGGATGACTCTTCATCAGGAGAGGAGGCTGCCGGCAAGACGAATGCAGGGAGGGATTCCAGGTGCCTGGGCTGGTGGGGGGTGGGGACTCCAGGGGGGACCCTGGCAGCTCTGCTGAGCCTGTAGGGCCTCAAGGAGGCAGGGCTAGGACGGAAGTGTCCCTGGGGTGGGAGCAAAGGAAGCATCAGAGCCTACTGGACAGTGCCCCGCCTGGGGCCACATGGTCTCCTGTTAGCTGAAGTGGAAGGGCCTTAGGTGGCATCCTTCCTCCTAACATTGAAAGGGGTAGGCTGCCTGATGGGAAAGGTTTGGATGTTGAGGAGAAGTCCAGTCACCATCTGAGAAATGGGCAGAGGCCATGCCCAACAGCCTAGGCTCAGTCCTGATTTGAGGCAGAGGTTGGGATAGGGTTGGGCTGGTTCCTGTTCTTGGGTTTAAGGACCTTTTCCCCCTTCCCCATGTGTGTGGCATGGGGTGAGGACAGACTCTGAGGAATGTCCTGTAAACACCCCAGATCCTTAAAGTGAGCACCTTGAGGATGGCTGTGCATCCTCAGCCTCCCGCCCAGAGCAAGTACCAGCCTTGGCCCTAGGCCCAAGGAAGGGGCAGACTCAGGAGTCTGCAGCCCAGTCAGGCCCAGATTCAGCCCCTCCTCCTAAGAGGTTAAGGCCACGAGGCCGGTCACCCGGTCTACACCCACCAGGCCCAGGGACATATAACAGGAACTTCTAGGCAGTCTGTGCCAGTATAGGTGATTAAACCTACCATCCTGAGGGTGTGGCTGTGGAGGGCTCTTGTGGCAACTTAGCTGGGGAGGGGCCCAAGGAGGACTGCCTATCTCCCAGGACAGGATTAATGGCAACAGCTCCTGCTGGACACTAGGAGCAGTGGTGCAGGGACCAGCTGTGCAGAAACACCTTGAACGTCCTTTTGCAGAGGCAGACATGGAAGGCCTGGGTGGGGCTTCCCTGGGCACTGAGGGAGCATGACCTCCATTGTCAGGGCAGGGGCCACACAGACCTTGCATTGGCTCTGCAGCTGGTCAGGAGGAGCTGGCCAAGCCCCATCTCATCTGGACTGCTCCCTGGGGAGGCCCATAGTCTGTCATGGCCCCAGCTTCTGCCTGGTGGAACCTGGGAAGAGAGGGACTCGAGGGATGTGCGGCAGTGAGGCCAAGCCTGAGTCTGGCTGATTCGATAGTGTCGTCTGCGCAATGAGTAGACACCCCCTGCCTTTCTCACTAGAGTGATTGACAGCTGGGAAGTTGTGGGTAGTGAGGTATGGGCCTCAGGAGAGCAGGGGCCCCAGGGCCTGGTGCTTACTGTGGGAAAGGTTTGCCTGAGGAAATGGACAGCCCTGACCCTGAGGGGAATAATACAGGAGCCCCTGAAGCCCTGGCTCGCACAGCATTCCTGACACATCTTGGCACTGCTGTTGCAGTGAGGCGTTTTAGCTGGAGGGAGAAGGCGGCAGGCGGGCTTTACTGTGTTGCAGGTGTGGAGGAACAGCTGCTGGGCTCCCCTCTGCTGAATCAAGCCCAAAATTATGTCAGGATGTCAGTGAGGGACTGTAATCCCAGAGGAAGCCTGTCCCAAGGGAGGCCCCCAGGGGAGCAGTCCATTCCCAACTGGGGATGGAGGGGGGTGGCTGGAGAGGACTTTGCTCCCTCTATACCCCCTTGCTATGCTGTGAGAATTCTGGAAAAAGCTGAAAGGATTGGACCAGCCTGTGTTATCCAGACTAGATCTTGAGAGAGAATCGTGACTCTAAAGAGGCTTTCCAAGTGTAGCTAGTCGGCGATTTTGAACTTTGAGTAACCATACCCTTGCCTCCCAAGACACTAGTGACCATTTGTTGATGTGAGTCCACTCCTCCCTGTGCACTACTCCTGGGACCTCATTTTAGGAGTGAGGAAATGGAAGCGGAGGTTGAGGACTCACCTAGGGCCCTGCCCCCCAGGAGGTTTGAGGTTGAGCCACCACCAGACACAGCGTTCAGGGCCCACGCTGGTGGGACACCTTCATGTCACAGGAAGGCTGGCATCCAAAGTGCTCAGGCTAAGGTGGAAACTGCGATTCCCCTCAGTGAACCCTGTAGGCTGCCCCTCTTGCTGCAGTAGTAGCAGGAGGACCATGTGAAAGGAGCAGAACCCAGCACACCCCCATCCTTCCAGCTTGCAGGCTGTCCCCTCTGGTGTGCTGGGCCTGGGAGACCTGCATCATGGGGACGTGCCTCTAGAGTTTATGCCTGTGGCTCCAGGTTCTTTGCCCTTGGAAGGTGACATCGGCACATTCTCTTTGTAAGTCTGCAGTGGCTGCCCAGAGCCAAGTGAGGTCTAGGGGGAGCATGCTTTGCCTGCAGGGAGGTGCGGCTCGTTGTCAGGCGAGTCTGGGTCAGGCACTGGTTCTGTAGCAGCAGGGTGGTGGAGGCCTGACAGAGCATCATGTCTCATGTTCAGGTTGAGCTTCAGTGACAGCGACAGCGACAACAGTGCTGACTCCTGCCTGCCCAGCCGTGAGCCCCCTGCCCCCAAGAAGCCACCCCCACCCAACAGCAAGGTGAGTCCAGGGGGCACTCCTGGGGGCTCTTGGCTCAGAGGAGGAGGTCTACCCGGTGGGCAGGTCTCTGTCACATCCTAGAGGCAAGGCTGAGGGCTGGGCCTTGTTCCTGGTCCTGTGGTTGTCCAAGGGTCCAAGGCTGAGGGTGGTGGGGGCAGAGAGGCTTGGTTCACCCAGAGGTATGTCTGCTCCCAGGATTGGCTTCCCTTAGAGTCAGAGGCCAGAGGAAGGAGGTCCAGTGACCCCAGAGCTCCAGGCTGACTCTGAACAGTCATGGTTGCCCTGGGGAGGTCAGAGAGCCTATGGGCAGCTGGGGAGTGGTATGGGTAAGAGCTGAGAGTAGACCTGGGATTGTCCTGCAGGTATCAGGCCGGAGGAGCCCCGAGTCCTGCAGCAAGCCTGAGAAGATCCTCAAGAGGGGCACCTATGACAAGGTGGGGGCTCGGTTGGCATGGGTGGAACCCTGGGGCTCCAGAACTGGATGGGCCAGTCCAAGTGTACCTAGGTGCTAGCCCCAACAGCATCAGGCCAACCTCTGTCCCCGGTGCCCAGCTGTGATGGGCAAGACCACGGGTGGGCTTCCTCAGGGCTGGGCAGTTGGAAGGGCTGAGGCCACCTGCTGAGTGCCTGTCTGCTGCCCCCCAGGCCTACACAGATGAACTGGTCGAGCTACACCGGAGGCTGATGGCCCTGCGGGAGCGCAACGTGTTGCAGCAGGTACTAGGACGGAGCCCACCCTGCCCCTCGGTTCTGCTGAGGACACAGGTTATCACACATGAGTCCCTGGGGCAGGGGGTGCCTGTAAGGCCTGCAGGCTGCTGGAACCTCTTTCTGCAGCCCCAAGGAGCCTCCTCCTCTTCCTCCGGGGTCTGCTGGAGGGTGGGGGATACCCCAGCCCAACTACCTGTCTCCTGAAGCCGCCTTGCCACCTTTCAGATCGTGAACCTGATCGAGGAGACTGGCCACTTCAATGTCACCAATACCACCTTTGACTTTGACCTCTTCTCCCTGGATGAGACCACCGTGCGTAAGCTGCAGAGCTACCTGGAGGCCGTGGCCACATGACCCTGGGCCGGGTGCCGGGCCCCTGTCATCAGGGTCCCGGGAGGCCACATCCGGACCCCGCCTGCCTTTCTCTTTCTCGACTCACTCGCCCGCAGCACTGCCTTAGTGACCGCCCTGTCCTCGGCCCACAGGGCCAGCTGCACTTTCCTCATTGGCTCCCGGCCTGCCCTCCCCACCAGTTCACCGGGAGCCCTGAGGCCGAGGGGGGTCAGGCCGGCGCTGCTGCTGCTCCCTGACACTCAGGGGCTATCACCTGGGTCCCCCTTGGAAAGTGGCTTGTGTTGAAGGCAGCACTGGGCCTCATTCCTGTATAGGGGAGGAAGTGTGCCCAGCGGTGGGAGCCTTGCTCCATCTTGGGGCATGTGGCACATGCCTCTCTGAGCATCTGGAACACCACCTCCAGCCTCCCCAAACGGTTCAGACACACCGCACCCCAGGACCTCAGGGTCCAGCTGCTCCAGGCCAGGCCTTGGCTCGTCCTCCAAGTGAGCTGGATGCAGCCCCTCTCTTGGCTCTCACTGTGCTGAGACTCCATGCTGTATAGTTGTCTCTCTATTATATATGTATGTGTGCACTGTAGGTACCAGAGCGGTTTCTGGGTGTGCATTTCTGTGGCAGCAGTGCACGTGGGGGGTGGGGGGTGAGTAAGGTGGGACTTTTAGGTTAAGATGTCTCCACTGGTCTTGTCGTTGGGCTAGAGGCCGAGCCGGAGCGCCAACTGGTTTTCTCCAAGTGCAGGGAGGATCCTCCCTCAGTGGTACAAGGACGCCTCGTCCTCCTCCCAGGACTCAAAAGGCACAGCCCAGGGGCCGTGAACACTACGATGGAGCAGTAGGTCCTCAGGCGCCTGGTCAGACTGGCAGCTGTCTCCAGGAGCAGATCTCCCGGGCCTCAGCCTCTCCTTTCTTCCATAGGATCCTCTTCCTCCTTTCTGTTGATTGAGTCTTCAAATCTTGAAAAAAAATGAGCTTTTGCCAAATAAGATATGATAGTTTGTGGAGTATTTTCAAGGAGTGTCAGGACTCAGAGCCAGCTCCTTGTTCCTGGGCCCTGCCCAGGCCCTCCTGGGCCCTCATGGGCCCTCATGGGCATGCTTGTCTCTCTCTGGTTTGGGCTTAGCCCTCCGACACCTGCCGTTCAAACTTGTCCAGAGCCCTGAGACTTAATTCCTCGAACGCCTGAGATTCTCCAAGGGCCAGGCCAGTTCCTCCTCCCTCTGGCCCACCTTCCAGGGTCAGAGTGCCCTCATGGAGTCAGCCCACCTTAGGTGGGGCTCCTCGAGAGCCTGTTTGCTCAGCCTCTGTTCCCCCAGACTTTGACTCAAGGCTCCTCTAGCCCCCTCCCCCAACTTTTGCCCTGAACAACATGTGGGGAAGAAGACTGTGGGCCCAGAGGTGGGCTCACCTTCTCTCTCCAACCCACTGTCAGACAGCCCCTCTCCCCAGTTCCTGAGTTCTGATGTGGGGAGCGCCATGCTCCTGTTCCCTGTGGCCCCTGATTCTCATGTTCGTGCTCTGATTCCGTCTGTCAGGCAGACCCTGAACACTCCCTGGTGATCCCCACCTGCAAGGCTTCCCTGAACTCCAGCCTTCCTGGTGAGATCTCCAGAACTCTCGGGGAAGGTCCGAGAACGTTCAGAGGAAACCATCGTGACTCCTCGCCATTTACTCAGATTCTCTTCTGACCCCACTGCCTTGAGGTATTAAGAAGAGGTCAGGCCTGTGTGGCAGGTTCTTTGCTGTCACCATCCCCTTCTCCAGGCAGGCCAGCAATACTCCAAAGTGGACACCATTCTTCTCTGGAAACTCAAGACATTGGACGGAAGAAACTGGCCTGAAATGGGCTGCTCAAAAGGCAGCGGCTGCCTGGCCCTCTATGCACAGAGGCTGCCAGGGGTCATAGGCAAGAGCCTCAGCTCGAGGGTACTAGTCTCTCCTTCACGAGGATCTCCTGGAAAGGGCTGCAGGCTCCACATGGCTACCAAGGCAGCCCTCTGGCTCACCCTCAGTGTCAGCAGCACCTGGCCCTTTCTTCTGTTTCCAGGGCCTTCAGAAGCACCAACCCATTTCTCAGTTACCTCCTCTGGCCAGAAGGCCTCCAGTGCTATCCTCTGGAGCTGTTCTGGGCCCAGTGCTGGCCCGTGATCACCTGATGGATATGCCAGGCAGCCAGGGCCCTGACCACAGCATTCCCAGCTGCTCCCCTCCCCACCCCCCAGCTGCCTGGCAGCTGGATCCACGAGGGCTCTGGGGACACTTCCATAGGAAGGGGCAGGCACTTTGTGATTGCCGCGTGTTTAGTGTTAAGCCCCCTGCCCCCAGTGCAAATCCCTGTGTTTTGCTATCTCCTGAACAAAATGTAAACCGACACCTGAAAGCAAAAGGTATCGAATACCTTTCCTACCCATAAGGGTTTTTACAAAGATTGTGTCTCACTAGGAACTAGGACACTTAACAGCCCGAGACCAACTCCTGGATAAAAGGAATAAGGAGAATTGTGTTTGTAATAAGTTACAGGATTGTTTCTGTCCTGGATTTTAAACTTTTTGTTAAATTGTGAAATTATGGAGGAATTTTATAGAAAAAAAAAAAGTGAAATAAAGTCAGACGGGAAAGCAGACCTATGTGTAGACCTGTCCATCTGTTTGGTTCCTCCTGTTTTGAAGTTGGGTGGGTGGCGTACAAAATACCTTGAGGCCCCTTGTTCCTTCTCCCTGTTTCAGTGCCTCCATGTCCACAGCCAGGAAGAGGTGAGAGGGTTGGGACCAAGCCTGGGGACAACAGGGAGTATGAGCAAGGTTGGCATCCTGGAGGAATAGAGATGGTGCCACCAGAAATCTAAGAGGGACAGATGGCAGAGAACTTGGTCTCAGGTCTTGCTTTTGATGTTATATTCTTTCCTTGGATCCTGGCAGCAAGGTTTGGGTTGAAAAGCAAGCCTGACTTCAGTAGATAGATGGATGGATGAATGAGTAGATGGGAGTGCCTGACTTCAGTAGATAGATGGATGGATGAATGAGTAGATGGGAGTATGGGAGGATCGGTGGGTGGATGGATGATAAAAAGCTAGACAGACAGAAATACGTGAGCAAAGATCCTTTGCTGGAAGCTGGGCTACCTGTCTGCCAGTTTGTCTATGGTCTGTTTTGCCCTGGACTCTGTGGTAGAGCTGAGTGAACCCCAAGGGGACAAAGCTCTTGCAGCCCCATCTAAGCAGCCCTGTCCACTCTGGGGGCTCTGGCCTCACTCGAGGGGCCAGAAGTTCTATTGCCAAGTGGCCAACATTGCAGGCCAATACCCTCTGTCCACCCTGCCCACAGCAGTTCAGGAGACAGCGGGCCACATTCAGGAGCCAGTTCCTCTCCCTTCTAGTTGATACCAAAAATTTCATTTCCAACATCAGGGCTATGGTGAAACTACCTGTGTGTGAAAAATACAGTAGGGCCGGCCCTGATGGGGTAGCTTCATTGGTTAGAGTATTATCCTGATGTGCCAAAGTTGCAAGTTCAATCCTCAGTTGGCACATACAAGAATCAACTAATGAATGTGTAAGTGGAGCAACAAATCGATGTTTTTCTCTCTCTAAAATCAATCAATAAAAATTTTTTTAAAAAATACAGCCCTAGCCCTAGCCGGTTTGGCTCAGCGGTTAGAGCGTCAGCCAGTGGTCCAGAGAGACCCAGGTTCGGTTTCCGCTAAGGGCATGTACCTCGGTTGCAGTTAGTCCCCGGCCCTGGTGGGTGGCAGCCACTTGATGTGTACCTTTCACATCGATGTTTCTCTCTCTCCTTCTCTTCCTCTCTCTGCCTCCCACTCTATCTGAACAAAAAAATGGAAAAATGTCCTCAGGTGAGGATTAAAAAAAAAATATATATATATATATACAGCTCTGGCCAGTGTGGCTCAGTTGGTTGAGCATCGTCCCGTATATCAAGATGTTGCAAGTTCGATTCCTGGTCAGGGCACGTGTCCAGGTTGCAGGCTCAATCCCTAGTAGGGGTGTACAGGAGGCAGCTGATCAGTGTTTCTCTCATCGATGTTTCTCCACTTCCCTTCCTATCTAAAATCAATAAAAACATATTTTAAAAATAAAAATTTAAAAATACAGTAGGGCTTTCTGCAGGCCAGGTGCTGTGCTAAGAATGATCTCATGGACTCTTCACAAGCATTCAAGGTTGGTACTGCCATCAGAATCCCCATTGACAGATGAAGAAACAGCATTGGCCTGCCTACAATATAGGTAGTAGGTGCATTTCATTTTTGATATTCAAGCCCGGGTCTGTGTTATTGTTCCTTATGGCAGTCCATATTTATTTATATTTACCCACATAATTGTTCCTTGTTTTGCTTTTCAATCTTCATGTGGTTCCCTCTGCAGTTGTTTCCCTTAAGCCTGAAGAGCTCTCATTAACATTTCATTTAATGCAGCAATGAATTCTCTCAGATGGTGTTTATCCAAAACCATTTTCATTTTATCTTTATTTTGTAAGGATACTTGTGCTAGGTATGGAATTCTAAGTTGACAGGCATTTACTTTCAAAACATTGTTCCATTTCTTTTTGCTTCCATTGTTCCTGTTGAAAAGTCATCTGTTAAGTCTCATTGTTGCCCCTTTGAGGATAATGTGTCTTTCTGGTGCTTCTTATTTGTTTACAACATAAATTTATTCTCATACAGTTCTGGGGTTCAGAAGTCTGAAGTCAGTTTCACAGGGCTAAACTCAAGGTGTCAGCAGGCCTGTGTTCTTGGAGGCTGTAGGGAGAATTCAATTTCTTGCCTTTCACAGTTTCCAAATGCCAGCTGCAATTTTTGGCTTGTGCCCCCTTCCTCCATTTTCAGATTTTTCTCTATAATGTCTGCTTCTGTTGTTACATCCTTATGAACTTTTAAGATTTTTTTTTTGTCTTTTATTTGGAAACAATTCCATATGTTTTGGTGATTTTTTTCTTTTTTTTTTTATCCTCACCCGAGGACATTTTTCCATTTTTGGTTCAGATAGAGTGGGGGGGGGGGGGAGAGAGAGAGAGAGAGAGAGAGAGAGAGAGAGAGAGAGAGAGAGAGAGAGAGAGACACATCGATGTGAAAGGGACACATCAAGTGGCTGCCTCCCACACAACCCAACCAGGGCTGGAGACAAACTGCAACCTAGGTATGTGCCCTTAGTTGGGACTCTCCGGTCCGAGGGCCAACACTCTAACCGCTGAGCCAAACCAGCCAGGGTACACATTTTTTTCTTAATATATCTTGAGTTCATTCCAAATTAGTATGTTGAGTAAATGCACCATAACTTACATAATTAGTCCTGCTGGTTGGCATTTAGACCATTTTCCTTCATTTACTTCTATGACTACCTAAACTGCACAGGTGAAAGTATGTGACTGGATCTATAAGCAGTGGCTTTGGCAGTGGACTTGCCTATTTTTTTCTGCTGGGTTTATTGATGTTTGTGTGTATATATACTTGTGTATCTGTATTTTTATGAGCTCCTTGAGAAATATGAAATGCAGCCCTGGCCAGTGTGGCTCAGTTGGTTGGAGCATTATCCCATAAAGGGTGGTGCGTTTGATTCCAGGTCAGAACACATACCCAAGTTTGATCCCCAGTTGGGACATAGATGGGAGGTAACCAATCTGTGTTTCTCACATCAATGTTTTGTTCTCTCTCTCCCTTTCTCTATCTAAAATCAATAAAGAACATATCCTCAGGTGGCAGGGAGGGGGTATGAAATGCAGCTCTTTGCAATGTATTTATCCTCCCAGCTTGCCTTTAAGTTTTGTTTCTGGCATTTCCCCTCATGCTGAAGGCTTATGTTTTTATTTACTAAGCTTTTCCTCCCTGCACTCATGGGTTTCCCTAGAGACACCTTTTAAAATCAGGTCCAAGCCTTCCAGTTCTTTTCATAGGAAATCCTGTTGTTATACAGGAGCCCTGTTGATGTGATGGTAAAATACGGAGGAGAGGGAAGTGTTCTATGGTCTCAGTCTGGTAATTTTGTGTCCTTGGACTATGATCTTCACAAATAATTCTCAGTTCGTTCTCTCTCTCTCTCTCTCTCTCTCTCTCTCTCTCTCTCTCTCTCTCTCATTCTTAACTGAGAGGAAGGGTAGACATGGCTGGAGTTAGGCATTTCCCTTCCCCCAGCTTGGGTAGGCTCTGGTAAACCTCACATTTGTCATACTTCGGTAAAAACAGTTCTTGGACTGCAGACTTTTGTTGAGAACAGAATGGTCTGGACATATTTTAAAATAGCTAATTTCCCCTTGTGGGAAGCACCAGAGTTTTTCTCAGCTCTTCACTATGAGAACCTGGTGGGGCTCCTGGAGGTTAAGATTCATGAGTTTGTGCCCCCTCCCTGTTCCACCCAGTGCTGGGTCTCAGGAATCTTTCTCTCGTGCTAATCTGTGTTCAGTCTCTAGCAATTAGTCAAGAACCCTGAAATGTTCCCATCAGGTGCTATATCCAGAGGTGGTTTCTGCTCCAGGTGAGCTGCTATTCTCCACACCCACCTCCTGTTCCCTCAAATTCACTGATGAATTCAAGAGTCTGAGTTGTGGAGTTTTGGTTTTTCATGTCATAAGGCTAAAAATGACAACTTCAAGCTCTTTTC